TTTTCCTGTTCATTTTTTAAATAAACAACATAATTAACATTGGAAAGTCAACTGGACACCGGTACAGCGTGATATACAAATTTGTTTGCCCGTGAGAAACAAACACTGAACTGGGACATCTGGCAATGGGTTATTTCCACCCCTGAGTTTGAAAACCACATGGCATGAACTTTGAAAAAGTCTGACAGAAATCCTTACCAAATTTACATTAAACATTCAAAATACCTGCCCGCCCGCCCGACCGCCTGGGACGGGTTATTTTCAACATGGACTGCCAGGATGTCTCAAATTCACCTGCCCCATGCTGGGGTTAAAATTTAGATACATATATGAATGATATTTCAGGATAAGAAATCATTACTAATTCACTCGTAAAAATAATTTTTTTAAACTTATCCTATCTCACAGAATGCACCTCTCCTCTTCTTCTATGACCATGTGTGGAAATGTGCTGTAGGCAAAGTTAAATCAAATCTTACTGGCCTCTGACCACGTGACCTCTGCCCCCACTTCAATATCAGCACCTGTCAATCATTTCAATAAGCGTGCAGATCGCTCAGATGATCACTAACGACCTGTGACTGTCATTCTCTTTCTTGTCGCTACGTCGTGTGGATGTGTGCTTGTCTCAGAGAAAGTTTAATTGTTTTTAACATGGGTAGATCGAATCGTAATGTTTCTAAGAAGTGCAAACATTGTGACAATTGTAACAGTAACTTCTCGGCGGCAGATCCACATGCTTTATGTGTAGATTGTTGAGGTCGTTTTGATTGGTCTCACCGTTGCACTTTTTGTGCTGACCTCGACGATGATGCTTTCTCTGAATATCACCGGGTAGCTTGTAGATGCATATCAGATAGGGACCGTTGTAAAACATCTGAGGGTCCGTCTGCGTCTAAACGTCCTAAGACAAAACGCTGTAAGAAAACTGCGGTTCAACGTTCGAAGTCCCTGTCTCCCAATGAGGATTTCCTAGATGAGGCGTCTGATTCTTACCTCAGTTGTGCCCTTCCACCCCCAGTCATGCCCATCCAGACTTCCCCAGTAGGTGGAAGACTTGGGATTTATGCTCCCAATTGGACCATCTTGGACGACCCTTACGTTCTCTCCACTTTGTCCAAGGAGTTTCAGCTTCCGATCATCGGCAATATTCCTCTGACTTTACTTCCGGATCATAGAACGTATCCCGCTCAGCAAACGGCTGTTCTACGATCCACGATAAACACCTTACTCCAGAAACCTGCGATCGAATCCCTGGGCCCTGCCCCGGTCTACCCGGGATTCTACTTTCCAATCTTTCTGGTTCCCAAGAAGGATTTGGACAAGTTAAGACTAATATTTTCTTCAACGAGATGTTTCTGCAGCCTCCGCCCCATTTTCGCATGGTGTCAGTGGCCCTCCTCAAGACCATTATCAAACTGGTAGACTACATGGTCAGCCTCGACCTACAGGATGCGTACCTCCACATCCCGGTCTTCCCGGCCCATCGCAAGTTCCTTCGGTTTGTCTTCGAGGGCACCCACTATCTGTGGCATGTCCTCCCGTTTGGAATTTCTTCAGCCCCATGGCTGTTTACACGGGTGACGAAGCCTATCAGCAGTTTCCTCCATCACAAGAGGATATTTTAGAAGCTTACATCGATGACTGCATTTAGGCACAGACCGATCATGCCCTTCTGCTTCATCACATGCAGTTCGCGATGCAGCTTCTTCACCAATTAGGCTGGTTAGTCAATCTGCAGAAGTCGAAACTAGTCCCTACTCGCTGTCTTCAATTCATTGAAGCGGTGTTCGACAGAGGTCAACAAACTGTTTGTCCCGAGGAATTGTTTCTGCAAGGTACATTGATTGGTTCCCCTTGCATTTGCACAACCCAGGACACTTCGTCAGTGCCCCTTGACGTCAGCTGAGGCATTGACGCTCAGCTGAACTGCAACTTGACTCTCAGTTTTCAACTGGCGACATCAGAGTGGGCGATCAGCTTGCCTTGATCACTCTGCCTCCGGAGCTCCATCCCCATCTCCTGTGGTAGATGGAAGAGCTGAACGTTTGCGGTGGAGTTTGCTTAGGGCCGTTCGTTCCCCCTATATGTGGATGCATCTCTACACAGGTGGGGGGCTTACCTTCTCGATCAGCAAGTGGCAGGGCAGTGGTCTCTGGCAGATCACGCCTGCCACATCAACGTTCTGGAGTTCAGGGCGGTGATTCTTTCAATCATTCACTGACACGATGTCCTACGAGCAACTTCCCTCATGGTCAGATCGAACAACGCAGCAGTTGTGTGGCACATCAACAGGATGGGGTCAACGGGGTCTCCTCAACTCCTGCAGTGAACACAACAGTTCTTCGACCTGGCGGACTCTCTCAACATCTCTGTGCGAGCCAACCATATTCCAGGGCTGAAGAATGTCATCGCGGAGTCTCTGTCCCAGCCAAGTCGTCCCTCCCCAACAGAGTGGAAATTACATCCACAGGAGTTCCAGACCTTCTGCCTTCCTGCGACAGTGGATCTATTCGCCACCCAGTTCAACCATCAGCTGCCTCTGTTTTTGAGAAATCAGATACTGTGTTCACTTCACACTACCTGCGAGATCTCTGGGTTACAGATGTGGAAGGTCTACATCAATTCGGCCCCTTGGTCCTCGCACAGCAATTGTCATCGGCCCGTGTTCGCAGATGACGCAATCCTTCTTTGGTTGGTTTTGCTCTGTACATAATAAAAGATATCGATGTAATCCATGTCTTGGTACTTTTTTCATTTGGGCTTAGATCATTCTCACCTAAGGCGTGTCTGCACTGTTATAGCTATGACTGGATAGACTGTGAGGCCAGTCTTGTTCTACCTGCAGAGATCGTCGACACTCCACTTACTGACCTCTACTCTTTGAGCAATTACGTCAGTGAAGTGTTGATTTCCGATTACCTACATGGTTTTCGCAGCGTTCTGCTCCTAAGTCCTTTCTCACCTTTGGTAAGTTAGGGGGATTGGTACTGCATTTTAAACTGGTTGAGCAACCGGGCTATTCCCTCTTTCACCGCCTTCTAGCGTATGTCTGTGGGGGGTAGTTTTGAAGCAGCGACTGGCCAGATTAAGGTCTTCTACTTTACCAAACTGCGTCCTTTTGCTTGTCAAAAGTTGCGGCTTAAAACCACATTAATTCAGGAGCGCCCAGCGTAGTTTTTGTGCTGTGTAAGCCAAGGGGGTATCTGAAGAAACCCATCACAAGTTTTGAGTTTGAATATCGGGAGTTGGTGCTTTCTCCTGGCCTCCTTGTGTTATGCGTCTTCACAGTTGTCGTATTGATAGGGTAATCTGCGGCCCTCCTGCCAACCATGGCATTATGCATACCGTGAGATAGAATAAGTTTAAAAATTTGAAAATTTTAACTATAAATTGTATATTTATATACTTATCCTATCTCATGCGATGCATACCCACCCAACCTGCCCCACATCACAGATTACTGGAAGCTCCAAGACGAGAATTACAGGCACAGGTCATCACGTGATCATCTGAGCGATCTGCGTGCTTTAGCGGCTTATTGAGATGATTTACAGATGCTGATATCGGAGTTGGGGCAGAGGTCAGGTGTCCAGTAAGATTTGGTTCAACTTAGCCTACAGCACGTTTCCACACATGACCGTAGAAGAAGAGGAGAGGTGCATACCGTGAGATAGGATAAGTATATAAATATACAATTTATAGTTAAAAATTTTCAAGATGAATCAGAGGTACAGATAAGCTCTGCTGCGTAAATTACGCAAATATTTATGTGAAAACAAAATTCCTATTAAGTCTATTGCGTACAAGCATGCTTGAATTTTGTAAATACACAGTGACTTTGATCTTACATGCGTACACACAAAAATGTAATTCGGAGCAAGCAGACCCATGTGCTACAGATGAAGGTTATTGAGGATAGATACAATAACTGAGGTATATTGAGAGGTTCTATTTCAGCACATGAACTTGGCAATGGTAAAATACCCTATTTGGTTTGAGTGAGGTGGGTACAATTTATTTGGTTACTCAAAGGAAAATTAGGATACCCAATTGAGATGAACACAAGCGAGTACATAACTCAATGACCAAAAAAGTTATCTGTAGCTCTGATGAATTCTGATGGGATGAGAAACCTTAATTATTTGCGGGCAGGTAGGTTTTGTTCAGGGCTGGCAAGTTTTTACATCTAACAAGCCCTGCGGTCTGGCTGAATTTTTTGGGAGTTTTATACCCTGGATTAAATGATTAAAATATGGATTAAATTGTACTGCAAAACATTATTAAACATATTTAGAGTTAACTTACACCATGGGGGACTAACTGTGGCATGCAATGCATCATCCTCGATAATCTCCAGGGTATACGTTACGATCACTCTCCACTATACCCTGGATGCATCAACGGCTTGGTCCGATAGTTTATTACCTCCCATTGCTGGAATTTTATCCAAGCAGGTGTCTACGCAGGGAAGTTGAGCAAACCAATCACAACTCACTTTCGCTTCTTAAATTATCTAACCGTTTAAACTTTGCACCACAATTGATGCACAGGTACTCTGAAAGAAGTAGGAGTTCTTTCACATATTTTTTTAAAGTTTCAGATTTGTCAATTTGTCTGTATTATTTCCCCAAAAATCTAAATGGCACTGCAAACAAACTAGCTTTGTTGACACTGGCAAGCTCTGATGTAACGGTGGCAGCTCGGATGTAACGAATGCAGAGCCAGCAAAGGGAGGTAATAAAATTATTGGGGTATAGTGCATCCAGGGTATAGTGGAGAGTGATCATAATGTATACCCTGGAGATTATCGAGGATGGCAAAGCCTTTAAAAACCAAACTTTTTTTAAAGAAAAATATTGCTGCTGCGATCACAAACCGAAACCTGAAAGAAGCTGCTCCCGGTGCAATGTGACACAAAAGCTTGCGCAGTGCATACGGCTAAAATATCAAATACGAAGAGACTTGTCACAGAACAGTGTATATATGTCAGTGTCAATCTTTCAGCCAGCCTGGCCAGACATACAACAACTCTGTCAACCTGCAGCAGGCTACACAGATGAGCCTAGTAGACCAAGTCGGTAAGTCATATATATATGACAATGGTGTATAGTAGTTGTACCAAGCACAGGCCCTCTTGTCTTTGCGAGTATTAAGGATTAAAAACATATTGTTTTTGAGATGACCCCGACTCAAATACTTCACAGAACAATACATCATGTCATGATTTATTGTACTGTGAAGCATTCCGAGTCAGGGATCATCTCAATTTTTTAAATCTTTAATCCTCACAAGGACGTGAGGGCCTGTGGTACCAAGGGGAAACTGTGAAGATCCATGTTAGAACTGGTCTTCAGCAACCCGTGCTTGTCAAAGGGATCGGGTAGTCAGACACAGGCCATCGTATCCCAATTGCGTAGATCGATGCTCATGTTGTTGATCACTGGATTGTCTGGTCCAGACTTGATATATTACACCTCGTCATACTCTGAACACTTGGTGCTTTACTCACAACTTCAATCACTGGTTTGTTTAGTCCATTATTATAGGCCTTTCTCATACAGCTGAAATTTATCTATATAACAAACACATTGTGGTTGTAAGTGGCCTAGTGGTTAAAGCGCCAGCCATCTCGGTTGTGATCCTTTTGTTGATTCCCTCATCTCGGTCCTGTTGGAATAATGCTTAAAGCAGTGTAAAAGTTCATTCACTCACACGATAGATAGGGCCATTCCAAATAAAACAATACCAATGGTGAGTTTGGTCTTACGTTGACCAAAGGCAGACAAGCATGCAGTACTGGGGATCTGTTCTTGGCAGAATCCCACAGGCAAACACACGTGAAATCCTGGACGCATGTACAAGGTCTGACATCTGATTCCCAAAACAGAGAATAAGGCTCTGGGGACTTAATTTCCCCCTGTATCCTGACATGGTGATAAACATGGGATCCTGGGGATTTGTTGTGTTCAGGATGCTAGAGCTGGACAAGCATGGGGTAGATGGGACCTATTCTGGTCCTGGGGATTTGTTGTGTTCAGGATGCTAGAGCTGGACAAGCATGGGGTAGATGGGACCTATTCTGCTTCTGGGGATTAGTTGTGTTTAGGATCCTAGAGCTGGACAAGCATGGGGTAGATTGGACTTATTCTGCTCTTGGGGATTTGTTGTGTTCAGGATCCTAGAGCTTGACAAGCATGGGGTAGATGGGACCTATTCTGCTCCTGGGGATTTGTTGTGTTCAGGATCCTAGAGCTTGACAAGCATGGGGTAGATGGGACCTATTCTACTACTGGGGATTTGTTGTGTTTAGGATGCTAGAGCTGGACAAGTATGGGGTAGATGGGACCTATTCTGCTTCTGGGGATTTCTTGTGTTTAGGATGCTAGAGCTGGACAAGCATGGGGTAGATGGGACCTATTCTGCTACTGGGGATTTGTTGTGTTCAGGATCCTAGAGCTTGACAAGCATGGGGTAGCTGGGACCTATTCTACTACTGGGGATTTGTTGTGTTTAGGATGCTAGAGCTGGACAAGCATGTGGTAGATGGGACCTATTCTGCTACTGGGGATTTGTTGTGTTTAGGATGCTAGAGCTGGACAAGCATGGGGTAGATGGGACCTATTCTGCTACTGGGGATTTGTTGTGTTCAGGATCCTAGAGCTGGACAAGCATGGGGTAGATGGGACCTATTCTGCTCCTGGGGATTTGTTGTGTTCAGGATCCTAGAGCTGGACAAGTATGGGGTAGATGTGGCCTATTCTGCTTCTGGGGATTTGTTGTGTTCAGGATGCTAGAGCTTGACAAGCATGGGGTAGATGGGACCTATTCTGCTACTGGGGATTTGTTGTGTTTAGGATGCTAGAGCTGGACAAGCATGTGGTAGATGGGACCTATTCTGCTACTGGGATTTGTTGTGTTCAGGATAGAGCTGGACAAGCATGTGGTAGATGGGACCTATTCTGCTACTGGGGATTTGTTGTGTTCAGGATCCTAGAGCTGGACAAGCATGTTTCTGGGGATAGATGGGACCATATTCTGCTACTGGGGATTTGTTGTGTTCAGGATCCTAGAGCTGGACAAGCATGTGGTAGATGGGACCCTATTCTGCTACTGGGGATTTGTTGTGTTCAGGATGCTAGAGCTGGACAAGTATGGGGTAGATGTGGCCTATTCTGCTTCTGGGGATTTGTTGTGTTCAGGATGCTAGAGCTTGACAAGCATGTGGTAGATGGGACCTATTCTGCTACTGGGGATTTCTTGTGTTTAGGATGCTAGAGCTTGACAAGCATGGGGTAGATGGGACCTATTCTGCTACTGGGGATTTGTTGTGTTCAGGATCCTAGAGCTGGACAAGTATGGGGTAGATGTGGCCTATTCTGCTTCTGGGTATTTGTTGTGTTCAGGATGCTAGAGCTGGACAAGCATGTGGTAGATGGGACCCTATTTCTGCTACTGGGGAGATTTGTTGTGTTCAGGATGCTAGAGCTGGACAAGTATGGGGTAGATGTGGCCTATTCTGCTTCTGGTTTAGGATTTGTTGTGTTCAGGATGCTAGAGCTTGACAAGCATGTGGTAGATGGGACCTGCTACTGGGGATTTCTTGTGTTTAGGATGCTAGAGCTTGACAAGCATGGGGTAGATGGGACCTATTCTGCTACTGGGGATTTGTTGTGTTCAGGATCCTAGAGCTGGACAAGTATGGGGTAGATGTGGCCTATTCTGCTTCTGGGGATTTGTTGTGTTCAGGATGCTAGAGCTTGACAAGCATGTGGTAGATGAGACCTATTCTGCTACTGGGGATTTGTTGTGTTCAGGATCCTAGAGCTGGATGGGGTAGATGTGGCCTATTCTGCTTCTGGGGATTTGTTGTGTTCAGGATGCTAGAGCTTGACAAGCATGGGGTAGATGGGACCTATTCTGCTACTGGGGATTTGTTGTGTTCAGGATCCTAGAGCTGGACAAGTATGGGGTAGATGTGGCCCTATTCTGCTTCTGGGGATTTGTTGTGTTCAGGATGCTAGAGCTTGACAAGCATGTGGTAGATGGGACCTATTCTGCTACTGGGGATTTCTTGTGTTTTAGGATTAGAGCTTGACAAGCATTGTGTTATTCTGCTAGGATGCTGTGTTCAGGATGCTATAGAGCTTGACAAGCATGGGGTAGATGGGACCTATTCTGCTACTGGAGATTTGTTGTGTTCAGGATGCTAGAGCTGGACAAGCATGGGGTAGATGGAACCTATTCTGCTACTGGGGATTTCTTGTGTTCAGGATGCTAGAGCTTGACAAGCATGTGGTAGATGGGACCTATTCTGCTATGGGGTAGATCCTAGAGCTGGACCTATTCTGCTTCTGGGTATTTGTTGTGTTCAGGATGCTAGAGCTTGACAAGCATGTGGTAGATGAGACCTATTCTGCTACTGGGGATTTGTTGTGTTCAGGATCCTAGAGCTGGACAAGTATGGGGTAGATGTGGCCTATTCTGCTTCTGGGGATTTGTTGTGTTCAGGATGCTAGAGCTTGACAAGCATGGGGTAGATGGGACCTATTCTGCTACTGGGGATTTGTTGTGTTCAGGATCCTAGAGCTGGACAAGTATGGGCTAGATGTGGCCTATTCTGCTTCTGGGGATTTGTTGTGTTCAGGATGCTAGAGCTTGACAAGCATGTGGTAGATGGGACCTATTCTGCTACTGGGGATTTCTTGTGTTTAGGATGCTAGAGCTTGACAAGCATGTGGTAGATGGGACCTATTCTGCTACTGGGGATTTGTTGTGTTCAGGATGCTAGAGCTTGACAAGCATGGGGTAGATGGGACCTATTCTGCTACTGGAGATTTGTTGTGTTCAGGATGCTAGAGCTGGACAAGCATGGGGTAGATGGAACCTATTCTGCTACTGGGGATTTCTTGTGTTCAGGATGCTAGAGCTTGACAAGCATGTGGTAGATGGGACCTATTCTGCTACTGGGGATTTGTTGTGTTCAGGATGCTAGAGCTGGACAAGCATGTGGTAGATGGGACCTATTCTGCTACTGGGGATTTGTTGTGTTCAGGATGCTAGAGCTGGACAAGCATGGGGTAGATGGGACCTATTCTGCTACTGGGGATTTGTTGTGTTCAGGATGCTAGAGCTGGACAAGCATGGGGTAGATTGGACCTATTCTGCTACTGGGGATTTCTTGTGTTCAGGATGCTAGAGCTTGACAAGCATGTGGTAGATGGGACCTATTCTGCTACTGGGGATTTGTTGTGTTCAGGATGCTAGAGCTTGACAAGCATGTTGTAGATGGGACCTATTCTGCTACTGGGGATTTGTTGTGTTCAGGATGCTAGAGCTGGACAAGCATGGGGTAGATTGGACCTATTCTGCTACTGGGGATTTCTTGTGTTCAGGATGCTAGAGCTGGACAAGCATGTGGTAGATGGGACCTATTCTGCTCCTGGATTCCCACAGGGAGATCAGCATGAGTCTAGGTATTGAGGACTGTGGCGTAGCTTAGTGGTGAAAATGGTCGCTCATCACGCTCAGTGTGTGAAGCCCATTTCTGGTATCACCTGCAATATTGTTGGAATATTGCTAGAAGGGGCGTAAAACCCAACTCACTCATTCACTAGACCTCAAATGTGTGACTCATGCTTGTCCAGCCAGAATAGGTTCCCAGTACCGCATCTAATAAGGACAGTTTTGAAATATGAGGGGCGTTGGGGTAGCCTAGTGGTTAAAGCGTTCGCTCGTCATGCTGAAGGGTTCGATTCCCCACATGGGTACAATTTGTGAAGCCCATTTCTGTGATATTGCTTGAATATTGCTAAAAACGGCGTAAAACCATACTCAGTCAGTCAGTTTGAAATATGACAGATCATGAGACATAAGTTGATTTATAAGATCCCAAAACAAGCACCGGTCTAGTGTACAACATTACTGTTACCTTCAGCACGAGAGCTGATGGGGAGAACGGTACAGTCACAGAATCAGTATGTGCCTCAGCCCCAGCCCCCAGCAGCCCCAGCCCCAGCAGTGGATGGACGAAGAGGACATGGAGGTGGAGACTCGTCTCGTCACTATACACGCCACTCAACTGACTGAGGATGGGGACATAAAAAAGTACCGGTCCCCTAAGTCGGCAACTTTCAATGGCATTAAAAGTAAGTGAAGTGATTTTTGGTCAAAGCAATGGTAACTTCTTTCACTGTAGGGATGAGAATTTTCCGCGGAATTTCACGGATTTGTCAAGTTTGATTGCACTGGGGTCATTTGATCTGGCATGGGGACCTATGGCTCCTAACACCCCGGCCTCATTTTTCTCTTTTTACACCATTCTCATCCCTGTCACTTCCTTGATAACCTGCGAAGGTCCGGGTTAGAATTGATCTTCAGTAACCCATGCTTGTCGTAAGAGGCGACTAATGGGATCGGGTGGTCAGACTCGCTGACGTGCTTAACACATGTCATCGGTTCCCAAGTGCGCAGATCGATGCTCATGCTGTTGATCACTGGATTGTCTGGTACAGACTTGATTATTTACAGACCGCCGCCATATAGCTGGTATATTTCTGAGTGCGGCATAAAACTAAACTCACTCACTCACTCACTTCCTTGATAACAGTGTTAGAACCCACACCGAAGCGTCGCTCTCACTGTAATAAACAAGTTGTTCATCCATATATTATTATCCTTCCAATCAATGGTATTTTCCCCTCATCGTGTTATCACTGTGTGGACTGGTGCTTGTACTTACTTGGTCCTCTACTAATGAAATAATTGGTAAATGGATGCCATAATTCACCAGCCTTGGGTCTAGACTCCAATAAATTCTTTTGACTTTGACTTTGACTCTGTGTATCTATCAGTGTGTGTGTGAAGGTGATGGTGGTGATTTAAAACAAATTATAATGTGGACAAAAGAATAATTGGTTTTATTGAAATAACCCTCATCCGCTACTCAAAGGTTGCCCACAAAGATGCCTCTTCTTTGTACTCAGTGGTGCCAGAATCCATGCTGTTAAAGGATGATGTCCGAGTTAATCAGGATTTTGCCAAGAAACACGGTGTATCTTATTTATTTTCGAGTTCAATATCTGACACTTCTCTGGCAAAATGGGTCACTTAAGCCTTTTTCTTAGGTTTTGGTGGGTGGGTGGGTTTGATGGACAAGACTTGATTCTGTTTAAAAGTTTTTTTATTTGGCCATAAAAAGGCTTGGATAAAATTCTTTTTAAAAGCCTTAGATTTGACCTCCATGGTCATTTAAGTATATTTCAGTTATATTTTCTCATATGCTGTTTCTATAAATTTATCAATATAAAATACTTGAAAACCCATCTTATACTAGAATTTGGCATAATTTGACACACAACATTGAAAAGCTGTGCCGTCACATCCTTTAGGTATTGACATATAGATATATGTCTCAGTTTACGTTGTTCCTTGAGTCTGAACTGAACTTCTTATGATGTTGATCACATGCAGAGGTACCGATAAGCTGCATATCTGCGTAAATTACGCAAATATTTATGTGAAAACTCAATTTCTATTCAGTCTGGTGCGTACAAGTACGCTTGAATTTTTGTAAATACTCAATAAATGTGATCTTAAATGCATACACAGAAAAATGTCAAATCTTAGCTTGCGTACCGGTGGATAGATAAAATAACTGAAGTATACTGAGAGGTTCTATTTCAGGACATGAACTTGGCAACTTGCAGACTTTCTTATTGTTTCTCATATTACAGATCAAATATAAATAACAAAAAATAACTTTTAAACTTCACTATATTTTCAAATTTAATGGAAACCGGGCAAAATACCCAATTGAGTTTGAGTGAGGTGAGTACAATTTATTTGGTTACTCAAAGAAATAGTAAGATACCCAATTGAGATGAACACAAGTGAGTACATAACTAAATGACCCAAAAGTTATCTGTAGCTCTGCACATGACTGTTTGGTCCTCACATGATTATTTTAATCTGTTTCCACTAGTTACTATAGTTCCTATTTAATTTCCACTACTACTACTACTTTACTGCATCTAAAGTACTGTCAGAAATAGGAAAAAAACTATTTTTTCACATTTAAATCTACAATTTATGTAATTAATATGTGAAAGTGTTAAACAATAGATGAGACATATTCAACACACATGAAAAAGCATCAGATATCTTTGAGATGACCCATTGTGCCTGTAGGCAACACATGCGTTTTATGCCAGGTGAGTTGACGGTCCATCATCTTACCAGACTGAGTGACCTAATTGCCATCTATAGTCTGATCTATTGTTTTCAGCAGCTATTCATATTTTTTGCAAGTTTTCCCCAATTTTACGAGTAAACATGCTTTTCTGTATATCCTATTCCACATCCCACTGAACGTCCAATTAGGCTGATGTGGGTTCTTTCAACATATTTTATTTACAGTTATGTGATTTTTTTTTCTATTTCCGACCGTACTTTACTACTTCTACTACTACCACAACTGCAAAAATTGCAAAATTGCTGAGGCACCCTTAAGCAATACTCACTCACTCACTCACTCACAACTACAACCACTACCACTGCTGCTGCTATTACAAATATGACTACCACTACCTCTACTACACCAACTATTACCTCCACCACCTCCTACCCGTGAAGATCCGGGTTAGAATTGATCTTTAGTAACCCATGCTTGTCATAAGATTACTTGGTTGACACATGTCATAGTATCCCAATTGTATAGATCAATGCTCATGTTGTTGATCATTGGATTGTCTGGTCCACACTCAGTTATTTACAGAGTGTGGTGTAAAACTAAACTCACTCACTCCACCACTTCCACTACCCCTGCTTCTACTACTACTACTACTACCCCTACCACTTCCATAACCCTGCTTCTACTACTACTACCCCCACCACTTCCACCAGCCCTGCTTCTACGACTACTATTACTACTACTACCCCCACCACTTCCATAACCGCTGCTTCTACGACTACTACCCCCACCACTTCCACTACCCCTGCTTCTACGACTCACTGTTACTACTACTTTACTACTACCCCCACCACTCCATTACCCCCTGCTTCTACTACTCACTACTACTCCACCCCCTACCACTTCCACTACTCCCCACCACTTCTACTACCCCTCACTCTCACTACTACTACAACTACTACCCCCCACCACTTCCACTACCCCTGCTTCTAATGACTACTACTACTACTACCACCCCCACCACTTCCACCACCCCTGCCTCTACTACTACCACTACTACTACTACTACTACTACCATCCCCAATAATCAATTCCATAACCCCTTCTCTGCTTCTACTACTACTACTACCCCCACCACCTCCATTTCCACCCCTGTTTCTCTACTGACTTACTACTACTACTACCCCACCACTCCACTCACCCCTGCTTCTTCTAATGACTCACTACTACTACTACCACTACCCCCACCACTCTCCACTACCCCTGCTTCTACTGACTCCCCCATCACTACTACTACTCACCACCCCCACCACTTCCCACCACCCCTGCTTCACGACCTCTTACTACTACTCACTACTACCTACCACCCCCACCACTTCCACTCACCCCTGCTTCTACCACTACTACTACTACTACACTACCACTACTACTACTACTACTACTACCACCCCAACCACCTCCCACTCACCCCCTGGCTTCTACTCACTACACTACTACTACTACTACTACTACTTACTACTACCCCACCACTTCCCACTCACCCGCTTCTACTGCTACTACTACTACACTACTACCACCCCACCACTTCCATAACCCCTTCTTCTACTGACTACTTCTACTTCACTACTACCACCATCCCTCTGGCGCACTCCCACCATCCCTGTTTCTCACTTCACCTACTACTACTACTACTACTTCACCATCCCCACCACCTTCCACTCACCCCTGCTTCTAATGACTGCTAGTACTACTCACACACCCCACCACTCCCACCACCCACCCTTTGTTTCCCTTACTACTTTATTTCACTTCACTACTTCACTACATTTCCCACCACCATCCACCTCCACTCACCCCTGCTTCTAATGACTGCTACCTTCTACTACTACTACCACCATCCCCACCATATCTCCACCACCCCTGTTTCTAATGACTGCTAGTACTACTACTCACCCACTTCCATCACCTACTACCAACACCTACTACCCCTTGCACCATCCCTGCTTCTCCTCACATCCAATCCTGCGCATACTTCACTACTCTCACTTCTTACTCCACCACCACCACCCCCACCCTACCCAATCTTCTACTACTACTACCATCCCCATCCACTTCCATCCACCCTTGCTTTCTACTACCACTACCATCCCCACCACTACTACTGTCACTCACCACTACCACTCACTCACCATCCCCACCACTTCCACTCACCCCCTGCTTACTACTAGCCCACTACCACCTCACCCTTTACTTCACTACTACTTCACTACTCACTACCCCTCTGCTTTCTGCACGACTGACCATTACTACTTACTTTCACCACCACCCCCCACCCACTCCACTCCCCCTGTTTCCCCACTACACTTCCCCCACCACCCACTTACCCCTGCTTCTAATAGGGACTATCATACTCACTTACTACTTCACTACCTACTCCTGCTTTGACTACTTCACCCATCCCACTACTTGTTACTTTCATCACTGACCACTACTTTACTTCACCTGCACTCCACGTTCCATCCCTACTTCTACTACATTTACTACTACTACCACCCCCACTTACCATCCACTACCCCCTGCTTCTACGACACATCACTTCACTTACTTCACTACTACCCCGAACCACTCCACCCCCACCTGCTTCTACTCTGCACTACTACTACTACTACTACTACCACCCCCACCACTTCCACTCACACCCTGCTTCTACCGACTACTACTACTACTACTACCACCCCCACCCACTTCCATAACCCCTGCTTCTACTGACTCACTTCTACTACTACTCACCATCCCCACCACTTCCACTCCACCACTGTTTCTACTGCTACTACTACTACTACTACTACCATCCCCACCACCTCCACTCACCGCTACCCCTGCTTCTAACTGACTGCTAGTACTACTACCACTACTAATTCACCACTTCCACTCACCCTCCTGCTTCTACTTACTACTTCACTACTACTTCACTACCCCACCACTTCCACTCACCCCTGCTTCACGACTGCTACTACTACTTCACTACTACTACCATCCCCACCACTTCCACTTCACCCCTGCTTCTAATGACTACTTCAGTACTACTACTAACCCCACCTTCACTTCCACTCACCCTTCCTTCCCACTACTACTACTACTACTACTACTCACCCCCACCACTTCCACCACCCCTACTTCTACTACTCACTTCCCTACTACTACTACTACCACCCCACCACTTCCACTCCCCCTGCTTCTAATGACTGCTAGTTACCTACTACTACCCCCACTGCTTCCATAACCCCTGCTTCTACCATCACTCACTACTACTACTACCCCCACCACTTCCACTCACCCCTGTTTCTACGACTACTACTACTACTACTACTACCCCAGCCACTTCCACTACCCCTACTTCTAATGACTAAGTAGTACCACTGGTCCACTACACCCACCAGTTCCACTCACCCCTGCTTCTACTTACTACTTCATTACTCACTACTACTCACCCCCACCACTCCACTCCCCTGCTTCACGTGACTACTCACTACTACTACTACTACCCCCACCACCTCCACACTCACCCCTGTTTCCCCTCCCCTGCTACCACTACTACTACTACCATCCCTACCACTTCCATAACCCCTGCTTCTAATGATTACTACTTACTACTACTACCATCCCCACCAACACTCCACCCCCTGTTTCCCTACTGCTACTACTACTACTACTCACCATCCCCACCCACTTCCACCACCCCTGCTTCTCACTGCACTCACTACCATTCACTACCACTACCACTTCACCCTTCACCACTTCCACCACCCCTGTTTCACTGACTACTTACTACTACTACTACTACTCACCATCCCCACCCACCTCCACCCCCCCAGTTTCTAATGACTGCTAGTACTACTCCATTACCACCACCACACACACTTCCACCTCACCCCTGTTTCTACTACTACTCACTACCCACTCCCCTTGTTCTTCTACTCACTGCTAGTACTACTGCATTACTACCACTACACCAACACCCTCCACTCACCCCTGCTTCTACTACTACTACTCACTACTCACTACTCAATCCAACACCCTCCACTCACCCCCTGCTTCTACTTCACTTCTACTACTACTACTACTACCCCACCACTTCCACTCACCCCTGCTTCTACGACTACTACTACTACTACTACCATCCCCACCACTTCCACTCCCCCTGTTTCTACGACTGCTAGTACTACTATTACCACCACTCACCAACACCACTCCACTACCCCTGCTTCTACTACTACTACTACTGCTACTACTACCATCCCCACCACTTCCACAACCCCCTGCTTCTACTGACTACTACTACTACTACTACCACCCCCCACACCACTCCACTCCCTGTTTCTACTCCACTGCTAGTACTACTATTACTACCACTCCCCACCAACACTTCCACTACACCCCTGCTTCTACTCACTACTACTACTACCCCCACCACTTCCACTCAGCCGCTTCTACTGCTGCCACACTCACTACTACTTCACTACCCCCATCACTTCCACCTAATTCTGCTTCTACTCTACTACTGGTACTACTACTACTACCCCCACCACTTCCACTACCCATGCTTCTACTACTACTACTACTACTACTACCATCCCCACCACTTCCACTCCCCCTATTTCTACGACTGCTAGTACTACTATTACTACCACTACCAACACTTCCACTCCCCCTGCTTCTACGACTACTAGTACTACTGTTACTACCACTACCAACACTTCCACTACCCCTGCTTCTACTACTACTACTACTATTACCGTCCCCACCACTTCCACTGCCCCTGCTTCTACGACTGCTAGTACTACTACTATACTCCTACTACCACTGCTACAAGTAGAACTACTACTACTACTGCTACTACTACTGCTGCTGCTACTACTACTACTGCTACTACTACTGCTGCTACTACTACTACTGCCACTTCTACTACTACTAGTGCTACTACTTGTACTACTGCTGCTACTAGTTACTACCACGAACACTTCCACTACCCCAGCAGCTACTACTACTTCTACTACTACCTTTAAACACAAGTTTAAACACTGCACAATAATGTGTGTACTTTTCAATGTTAAACAGGGATGACTGAGATCTATTACCGCCATCTGGCTGAGGAAAGATTCTGTGAGCGGCGGGCATGTCAAAAGGCGTATGAGATGCTCATTGAGAACAATATCGTCATCATCACTGGTGCATGCGGCGATGGCAAGACAACTCTCGGGTGCTACCTTCTCAAAAAAGTGTCCGAGGAATTAGACATTGATGCAGTGAGAATAAATTCCCCAAAAGACTGGAATAGAGTCTTGGAATTTGATCACCAACATGATGAGAAATTAGCTGTTATGCTGGACGATTGTTTCGGGAGCCTTGGCATGGCTGATTACATGTTCCAAGAATGGCATCAAAATGTACAATATATGTCAAGTTTCCTGGAATCCAAGAAGATTTATCTCATTCTGACCTCCAAGAAGCACCTGTACTCACAAGGGGCCAGCCGAGTTACTTACAATCAGATGTTTCTCAAGAAATATGTTCTGGATCTGACAATGGATGACTTTAAGCTCAATTGGTCTGAGAAGAAGGAGATCCTGCAGAAACATCTTGCCTGTTATAACCTGGACGAGGACATCGCCACCAACCTCCCGGAAGACTGCCCGGGACATTGGCTTCTGTGTCCTTGTCCATCAGTTCTGTATTGTGGAAGATTTTCAAAAATGGGGATTGCGCTTTTTCATGAATCCAATTATTTGGTATTCCTGTGATCTGGAGTCCATATCATCTACCGAGAAAGAGGTTTGGGGCGTTTTGGTCCTCCTGCTTCTGGGCGACGGGATTATAAGACCAGTGGATTACTACGCTTTCCGTGATGAAAAACCGAAATATGAAGAGGCCAAGAAACATCTAAAATACACGTCTCTCCGCGACGGCTTCTGTCCATCAACGCTGGTTCATCTGTGCGAACACATCGACACTGTGTATGTGAAATGGGACAAGAAGGAGAAAGGCTACCGCTTCATTGATCATTACATGGAAGAGGCAGCGATGATGTGTTTCGGGAAGTGGCATATTCGAGAAGTCTTGAAGCGATGCAGCCTTAGCTTTCTGTGTGAGTATATGGTGACGAATCGGTATGAGGCAGAACGCCCCGAGAAGGATATCCTCATACAGCTTTCTGCACCATACTTCCCATACCTCACTGAACGACTCTTGAAGGAAATCCTTGCCGGGAATATTGAGCAGATAGTCTCTCACAGAGTATTTCTTGACGATTCATACAGTGAGTTTCTTGTGAAGCATCTTAAAGAGAAGGATGAGCTTGTAAACGTTCTCAAAGCAAGAGACAAAAAATGTCAGAAAGGTATCGTGTATCTGTGTACGATGTACGGGCGGGAAACATTGATCCAAGAGATTGTGAAATCAGAGGTCTTTCCCAAGCTGACTTCTAAGCAGTGGGCCAAAGATGAGAAACTGCAGGCTGTTAAACTTGCCACAGAGTTTCGGATTTCTTCTTTACAAAACATGCTGAATCAGTTGTGAGGAAGGCTGTAATGATTGCACTGAGAGATTTATCTGGAGTTTGGATTCCAATACTAGTGCCAAATCTACAGCAAATGTCAGAACATTCCAAAATAGGAATTCGAAATTCCTGTTAATGTTACCATAGTTACAGCTAAAATTATGGTTTTACAAACGCTCCAAAATAGGAATTACGTCATGTGTTTTACCAATTTAGGAAAGGCTTTAAGGCTCTGTGTTTAAATTTCTGCAGTGAACACAGTATTAAATCATTGTGTTCAAATATCTCTGAAGTGATTGAAGAAAAAACATGAAGAAAATATTTTTTCTCAAATGGCCTGATAAGGTCTCATACATTTTTAGAATCTACAATCTATAAAATTCCTGAGGGTTGTTATAATCATTGATAACACTTAAACAGTGTTGATAAGCGTAGACAATATTTGAATTTTAGTTATGAAAGAATACAATTAGGCCTGGAGCCGGATTCACTAAACTTCTTAGAATTTTCTTAAGCCTTAAGAATTCTTAAGTCTGGTAAGAATTCCTAGTTTCCATAGCAACCTATCTAAAACTAAGATTTTTGCTTAAGCAATATTCATCAAACTTCTTAGTGCTTAAGATTTTTTCTTAACTTAAGAATCCTCCATAGGTTACTTTAGCACTAAGAATTTTCTTAGCATAAATTTGTATCCCATAATCCCATGCGTTTCTCACTAAGAAAATTCTAAGAATTTTAAAATATCTCAGCTAAGATTTATGCTTAGTGGCTTGGTGGATTGCTACTTAAGATAAATTCTCAGCTAAGAATTCTTAAGGAAACTTAAGCATAAATCTAAGAAAATTCTTAGAAGTTTAGTGAATCCGGACCCTGATCTTATGTGGTTTTCTAAAGCTTTGTATAGTTTGAGAAGGGCGAGTGTATATATTGCCAGTGATTGGCCCTGAAATGAAGCAAAACTTGTTGGTTTATGACAGGAGACAAATACATACAAAATACCTTGCAATGACAGTGTATCAAATTATCTTCATCATGAAGTGTACTCATGAAGATCCGAACTAGAAATGGTCTTCAGCAACCCATGCTTGTCGTCAGAGGCGAATAACAGGATCAGGTAGTCAGACTCGCTGACTTGGCTGACACATGTCATCGTATCCCAAATGAGTAGATCGATGCTCATGGTGTTGATCACTGGATTGTCTGGTCCAGATTCCATTATTTACAGACCGCCGCCATATGGCTGCAATATTGCTGAGTGTGGCGTTCAACAACAAATTAATCATTGCAAAGTTAACTTTTCCATCACAGCAATATAGCTAGGAGTTATTTCCCCTTGAAGGTAGGTTCCACATTTGACCAATCTCATATTAATTCAACTGCTTATTTTTTTCTTTGTTTCTATCAGGCCTGTAATGATCTACTGTGGCTTGTAAAGGGTATAAATAGCTGTTATATGTAATGTCTGATAATCTGTACAAACCCTGTACAGTAAGCATACTGTATTACATTGTTTATTTTGTACTGTACAGTATTCACAGTATTAAGTATTTCAGTGACTGCTAACACCTTCCAGACAAATCAGTGATCATTATCTGTTTATGACAGTGTATATTTAAGAAATACACTTCGCTCTACCACCATGTATAGTGTAATAAAACACACTTTTGCCCTGAACTATTATAGTTAAAGCACGAGGACGCTTGCGTCGTAAAACATAAACGTAATGTTTCCACCAGTGATGTAAGCTCTGTGAAGCAACTGCAAACCAAGAAACTGGATGCAACGGTGTAGTTTAGTGTAGGAGGGCGCATCGGGGGCGATGACAACTGACATGCATCGTGACGTCGCTTACATTGTGACGTAATGTAAAATGGTTCAATTACGAGGGGGCACACTAGAATGGCGCAGTGACGGGATAACATCATTCAATTGTTACGTCATCACAAAACTATACCTTTATTGTCTGATAATGTATTGTTTTTTCGATTGTTCTAACCGCTAGGCATCTTAGAATGCAGATTATTTTGTGTGGAAATGGGTACAAATAACTGCAAACTAACTATATCCATCCAGGAAGCTACCATATCATCCGGGTGGTCAGGCTCGGCCCGGTGACTTGATTGACACGTCATTGGTTTCCAATTGCGCAGATTGATGCTCATGCTGTTGATCACTGGATTGTCTCGATTATTTACAGACCACCGCCATATAGCTGGAATATTGCTGAGTGTGGCATAAAACTAAACTCACACACTCCCAGATATTTGTTGTCTCTTTGTCTATTAGGGCTGGGACGATACACTATGTCATGATAGAATACGTATCGCAATATTTTACCTGCGATACGATATACGTATCTCAAGGTATTTGTGTATAACAATAACACTATTGTAATAAACAAACAAGTAACTCTATCATCATTGAGTATTTTTCTGTAAATAAGTACTTTAACATGTTAAGATAATACTGTTTTGAAAAAAGTTGTGTATTGTTTTGTATGGATACGCCAGTCGACAATACAATAGCTGTATCAAATTTTAATGTATCATGATGTATCGGTGCATCGTCCCAGCCCTATTGTATATTACCTATCAGTACTACTTACACCTAGCTTCTATTTTTTTACCAACCAGTGCCTGTTACCCACTGACGTCCATTGTTATTTGTTCACCTTTGTTATTTCATCACCCTTGTTGTTTCACAAATACATACATTGCTATCAGCTTTCTAGTTTTCTTTCACCTGCTTAACGAGTGAGGATATACTCTGAAATGTCATGTTCCTCACATCACAGACATCGATAAATTACCACTGTATTTTACTTTTAAATGTCATTCAAAGACTTCAGTAACTGTTGTTGGAAATATTACAGTTCATTATCATTAAACAATGTTTGCTCACTTGTCCTACATCTCCCCAAAAAAGTTTCAACTCATTGTGTAGAGTTTTGATAATTGCCCCTTTGTAACATTCTATGGCATTTTACAATGGAGAGTGATTATGGCTTTAAGTTCATGATACATTGATATACAAATGTACATCTATTGTTATTGATGTGCAACATCTGTGAGAGCACCTGTTATATTTTACAAACCTGACCCGTGAAGATCCTCATTGGAATTGGTCTTCAGTAACCCATGCATGTTGTAAGGGGCGACTAAGGGGTTTGGGTGGTCAGACTTGCTGACTTGGTTGGCACATCACTGTATCCCTGTTGCATAGTTTGATGCTCATGCTGTAGATCACTGGATTGTCAGGTCCAGACTCGATTATTTACAGACCACCACCATATAGCTGAAATATTGCTGAGTGTGTTGTTAAACAACAACCAACCAACACATTAACAATCTATTGTTGCAGGTTTGGGCCAGGGGTGGAAATAACTTTAAAACTGATAGTGTACCCCGGTACTGGGGCACACGTAAGGTCACTTGCCCTGATAATTTTTCCACTATATCGACCGTTTTTCTTGCTGACTTTTTAAATAAACAACATAATTAACATTGGAAAGTCAACTGGACACGGTACAGTGTGATATACAAATTTGCTTGCCCGACAGAAAAAAGTTGGTCAATGGGTTATTTCCACCCCTGTGGGCTCTCTGAAACTGGGCCATGCAGACAAATAATAACCCTTTATGTTATCATTATTGGTAAGACTACTATAAAGACACATCTCCCTCTAAGAATAAGGATGGAGGATTTCATGTTTGCAAATCCATGTGCAGTAAGTGTTCACTTCATTTCATAAACTGCATGATCAATATTCACCTGTACCTGGGAATCAGCGTCTGAGCCCTAACATTCCCATGAAATCACCCCCAAAACTTAGATTACAAAATTGCCCAGAGATACACGATTGTTGTTATATAAGGGACCGTTCATAATTTATGGCAAGGGGGTTGACAATGATTTTAAGGGGGGACCACTCATTTTGTTCTGGTGGGGGGTCAGCAATTTTGTACATTAAAATATTAGAAAAATGTTTACAGAATATGGGGAGGGGGGGGGGGTCATTGATTTTGTACGACATGCAGAGTGGGTGGGGGTCACTTACTTTGTAAATAAATATTTGGGGTCAGTCACATTGTACATGCTGCTCCATAAAAATCATCATCACCCCCCTAACCATAAATTATGAACGGTCCCTAGGCGTGTATGAGTTTGGAAAAAATCCACACCTGGTATGATGTCACTGGAAGAAAATCAATTTAAGTTAAAATGATATTAAAATGAAATTAAAAGCAAGTTTCAATCAGTTCTGATATTATTTTGTAACATGTATGAAATATAGCTGAGCTCAATGCGAATGAAATTTTTAATAAATCAATCACTGATATTGCCTTCTTTTGTGTTTGTGAAAATTTCTATGGAATGACGTATCATGACTGAAGATGAAGTCGACCCGTGAAGATCCGGGTTAGAATTGATATTAGTAACCTATGCTTGTTGTAAGAGGCGACTAACGCGATCGGGTGCTCAGGCTCGCTGACTTGGTTGACACGTCATCGGTTCCCAATTGCATAGATCGATGCTCATGCTGTCGATCACTGGATTGTCTGGTCTAGACTCGATTATTAACAGACAGACGTCATATTGCTGAGTGCTGCATTAAACATCAAACTAACCAACGAAGATTGTCATAATACCTGTGTTCTCAGTGAGGGAGTGGTTACTTTATGCCAGGCACCGATAAACCAGTTAAATCAGCAAGGTTTTACATCATTTGAAGCAATATCCCAGCGATATCGCAGTGGGGCTACACTAGACAAGCCACTAATTAATGTTATGAGCAATGTCCCATGCCATCAATTAAGGATACTTGATCACCAACACTGACTACATGATTCCTTTACTCACAAAACGTCAGTTTCCAGGACAACAAATATTAACAGGAATTCCTACTGATGCGGGACCAGACAAACCAGTGGTGGATAGCATGAGCAAAGAATCACATCATCTCCTGGGTCACTGGAGAGTCGCAAAAAGTTTGAGTAAGAGTTACTCCCCATCAATCTATCCTGGTTGTTAGATGAACTGACCCGTGAAGATCCGGGGTAGAATAGGTCTTCAGCAACCCATGTGCTTGCCATAAAAGGCGACTATCAGGATCGGGTGGTCAGTTTCACTGACTTGGTTGACACATGTCATCGGTTCCCAATTGCGCAGATCGATGCTCATGCTGTTGATCACTGGATTGACTGGTCCAGACTCGATATTTACAGACCGCCGCCATATAGCTGGAATATTGCTGAGTGCAGCGTAAAACTAAACTCACTCACTCACTGTTAGATGAACTGGT